TTCCTGGTCCAGCCTGCGGGGCTGGTGTGGCGGAATATGCCTGGAATCCCAAGACTCCCGGAGGCTGAGGAAGAAGGACTGCAAGTTCAAGGCTGGCCCGGGCTACCTGGTGAGACATGTCTGAAAGAACCAGGCATGGTGCTGTGCACCCAAAGTCCTGGCTGAGATGCTGAGCCAGGATCGGGACAAGGGAAGATGCTGTCTTTTTTCTTTTTCTTTTTCAAAGTTGCCAGAGAGTAGTTATGCTTACCAGAGAGAGAGAGAGAGAGAGAGAGAGAGAGAGAGAAAGGAAAATACCCCGAATGGTGCATGGTCGTACAGTAGCCTCTTTTCCTCTATGTCTCCACCGTGCTGGGACTCAGGGTCTGTACACACATGCAGCAGTCCATTTTTCAAGCCACAGAGCCTGCGATTCAAATTGTGGTCAGCTATGTGGGATCCAGCTCCCTGAACCACTAGGCTTCAAGGTTGGCCTGCAAAACTGTGTCTTCACAAATGTGTGTCTTAACATACTGGAGATCAAGTTATTCAAGCACTTCAGATTTGTGAATTGAAAAAGACTTCAGGATACAACAGTAATTTCTAAAAACACAATTTGCTAGAATAAATACTACTATTTCATTACAGTTTTAAAGGCATTTTTTTTATTGAAGAAAATTGTCATGTAAAAAGCAAGTTCTTCAAGAACAAAATATTTAGTACTGAATTTTTTTTTTTTTTAATTCATCACCTGTTCTAAGAAGAGCTGCAAGCACGCTGACTGATCTGATCGGTGGCAACTGCACTTCAGAGACTCCTTCAAGGTTATCGTAAAGTTAACTCTTCTTGAGGATGGCCATGGACATTCTGGTAGCTTCTACTATTCATTCCAGATAAACAGGTATTCTCTAAATGCAGCTGCCCAAATACCTGCAATTTCCTCCAGACTAGACTCTCACTCCTGAGAGTTTGTTTGTTTGTTTATTGAAGTTTTGCTATAGGGTGTGTGTGCTTGCTAGAAAGACAGAGAGACCGAAGGTGAGAAATCATCCCCCAGGGGGGATGGCCACGCTGCAATCCCTTCTCCTCCATTCTCCCCTCGGGATCTTGGGCACCCACGCACACGGACCCGGCGTGAGTTTAAGCCACCGGGTCCAGGACTCGAACTGTGGTCGACTACATGGGAGTCCAGCGACAGAGCCATTATGCTAACTGCTGGTTCCTCACTCCCGAGAGGTTTGTAAACATCTTACAGTGGTGCCCTCAGGAAAGGAAGCCAAGCAACTCTGTAACAGCTTTTCCCTTGCTCCAGGGAGAGCTCCTGGAAGGGCCCCATTTCTGCCTGCGAACACCTGCACTTTCAAACTTATCTGGAGCTGTCAGACCAGACGCCCTGGCCTCACTTCCGGGACTGCAGAGGCCACGACCCCAGTCCCCCTGCCTTTGGATTCTGTGCCGACCTCCTCTGCCACCAGTCCTCCATCCCCGAGAGCACCTCCCTCACGGCTCTCCTGGATCGCTGCTGATCTCTCAGAGGCCCAGTGAACCCTCCTTGCTACAACTGGAGGGAACTTTCTAAAACATGATGTCCTCAGAGATCTCTCCAGCGATCTCCCTCATCTGCCCTTAGATCTCAACCTCTACGCATGACAGAGAGCCCCTTCAGGAGCTCACCCAGAGGCGCAACACTGGGTGTGCAGACACCACTGGGCACCACACGGCCTGGTTCTACGGCCGGCCACATGCAGCCAGGTGGGGGCCAGGTGCTGGCGTCTTCTGTTGGCTCCGAGCCTAACTCTGACAGATTGCACTGCTGGAAGAGGCTGCTAAGCCTGGATGTGTAGCCTGGCACCCTTGTGACCAGGCACATCCTGCTTCCTTTCCGAATTTTACTCATCCCTCTGGACACGGTACAGGTCACCATCTGCTTTGCAGAAGCTATGTCTTCTGGAGCCCCGAGGCCTGCACTGTGGTCCTTCCCAGCTACAGCTGTATCGTGGTAGAAAGGGCACCATCTCCTTCACTGGCATTTCAGGCAAGGTCAGTAACTCTCAAATAAAACTCTATATGATACTAAGTTAAACCATATGAAGATATATATATATATGAGGTTTTTGCTATAGGGTGCATGTGCTCGCCACAAAGACAGACAGAAAGTGAGAAATCACTCCCTGGGGGGATGGCCACGCCGCAATCCCTTCTCCTCCAAGGATCTTGGGCACGCACGCACACGTGCCCGGCATGAGTTTAAGCCATCGGGTCTGGGACTCGAACTGCAGTCGACTACATGGGAGTCCAGTGACATAGCCATTACACCAACTGCTAGTCCCAAGTTAAACCATATGAAGATATTTTTTGACTTTCAAGAACAGTACTTCCTTGTGGCTCAATCTGGTACTCCAGAAAATATTGCAGAAGTGATTCGAGAGGATTTAACAAAACAAAACCACACATAAACACGAATTGAACAGATTTAATCTTCCTGAGATTATATTCCATTTGTGATACACATATCACCTGTCAATGACTAGTGGTTTTCAAACTTTTCTGTGCAAATAGTTCAGCTAAGTATCTCGTTACAATGGTCCCCAGTTGGTCTGAGCTACAACCTGAGTGCCTAGCAGGCTTCCAGCCGAAGCCCTGAATATTCTGAGTAGCATGGTATCAGACCACGAGAAGGAATTGCAAGAATCACTTACCTAAAATGTAAAAAATCACCTTGGGCCAGCAGGTGGTGGGTGATTAAGGTGCTGGATCTCACATGGCCAAATGCTTGGTTTGGGTCCCATACTGTGGACTGAGAAACACACCAGGCACACCTGTGTGTATGTGTATGCCCAAAATCCCAAGAGGAAGATGATGGAGAAGGGATTGCTGTGTGGCATTCCCCCCTGGGGGGTGACTTCTCACTTTCCCTCTCTCCCTCCAGTGAGTGCACATGCTCTATGGCACAAATCTAACAATGACACACATTAACAGAACATGAAAACTACTAGTGGAGGGTAACAGAAATGTTTCTCCACTCCATACAATAAGGTATAATCTTTGGCTTTCAATACCTGATTAATTATAAAGCCTCATGTAAGTTTCTAGGCTTTTTTAGCTTCAAAAATAAAGTGCTATGACTTTCAAAGTTAAAACATGGCTAGATTTAAGTTTTAAGCTTTTGAGAAACTTACAGGTTTCTGACAGTGAAGGAAAGACCACCCTTGGAGAAATGCTTTTGGAAATTCGACTGTGTTATTCACCACCCTTGTGTGGCCAGTGGCGATGACGTCTGGATGCTCCCCAATGCGAAGCCAGTTGCTATGTTTTGGTCTCCTCAGCACACTAGTGTAGCAAAATAGCATGTACAGGCCCAGCTGTAGTTGTCGGAGGGCCCTGGGTTCGTATCCTGAGGTCTCCCAGAACCTGCCGGGCATGCCTGTGTGCTCCTGTAATCCTGGCTGGCTGCAGGCCTGGGCGAAGGATCACAGTGTCAAAGGAATCTGTTTCTCAGTCTTTCATGAAAGAAAGAAAATGAAAAATGTACACATACATATTGGACCAGCTGTTGGAGCAGTGGTAGGGGGGTCTGACTGACTGCGTGGTTTGAGTCCCAGACCTGGTAGCTTGGAAAACACGCTGAGCATGTGTGTGTGTGTGTGTGTGTGCCCCCAGTCCTGAGGTGAGTGGAGGAGAAAAGACCATGCATGGACATCCCTCCAGGGAGTGATTTCCCATGTCTCCCAATAGAGAAAATATATGTATTTACAATTATCGACTTACTAGGTTAAAAACAGCAATATCCTAATGGACCAATTCATTACAAGGTATGTGAACTTCAACAGTTTGAGGAAAAGCGAAAGAGCTGCTAAGTCATGTGTGCTTATAACGGAGGTACCCAATGGCCAGGAGGTGCCCTATAAGTCTGTGTGGACCATCCTTCTGGGCCTCCCGCCTGCCCCGGGCACTGCATAGTGAATGCAGTGAGGGAACGGAGCCTGGGAACAGCAACATCTAAACATTCCTCTATAGTCAGCATAGCACTTCTCAGGCATGAGCTTAAAATGCAAGGGAGGAAATGAGGCTGCAGTGCAAGACTGTAGAAACCAGTGCCTCCAAGGTGTTCATTTTAAATGCATTCCTGTGCTTCGGCCCCAGCACCGGCTCCTCTGGCACCAGTGGGAACACGGGCTTTGAAGCCATCAATCCTGATGCCCAGGACTAATGCCTCGGTCCACCAGAACAAGCTCGGCTGCTGTCAGGGAGGCAAAGCGCACAGGGAACGGGCCCCGGAGCCTGTCTGTCCTGACAGAGTCCAGCTGTCAGCATGCAAAGAGATCTCGCACTGTGATTACAAGCACGACTTTAACAGACAGTCCAAATTGTGTTGGCTATTAACAAAAGCAGACAGGTCGCTGGCTTTTACTTTAATTGAAACCAGTATGTCTCAGGTTGATCCTTTTCCTACTTCCATGAGAAATCCTCACCTGAGCTCAAAAATCCCACCTCTTTCTTGGTTTACCCAGGCCACGGAATCTGGAGGTAAAGTCAACATCTAATTTATTTTCACATTTTTTTTTTTTTTTTTTAGTCATCTCATCAGAGGTCATGTGCTTTCCGGAGAAAAAGCAAGCACCTCCAATAGTGTGGCCATGCTGCGGTTCTTTTTCTTCCTTTTCTCCACCGTGTTGGGAATGGGAAATGCACACACTCATGCATGGCGTGTTTCTCAAGCTGCAGGGCCAGCGTTTGAACCAGGGCTGGCCACGCGGGCTCCAGCTCCCGATGCACAGAGCTTAGCTGCTGCGCTATGGGGCTGACACAGCATGCGATTTGAAATGTCTTTAAACCAGCCTTGTAAAGAGGAGATTTTATTTATTTACTGTACAGGTTTTTTGCCTTAAGGCATGTGTGTTGGCTGGAGAAAGATAAAGAGAGACAGAGACAGGGAAGGTGAGAAATCACCGCCCCAGTGGAGATGACCACACCACAGTCCCTTCTTCATTCTGCTCTGAGGATTTTGGGCATGCATGTACATGTACCTGGTGTGATTTTCAAGTCACCGAGTTTGGGACTTGAACCATGGTTGGCCATGTGGGAATTCAGCACTAGAACCTCACTGCCGCCTGCTGGCCCCCACCAGCATGTTCTTTTTAATCAGCTTTGGGAAAGTGACAGACTGTTTTTTTTTTTTTCTTCCTATAAAGGATTATTTTAACTTAACTTATTATTATTATTTTCCAATTTGACCAGAGAGAAAGTGCATGCATGGGAGAGAGAGAAAGTGAGAAAGGAAGCCAGTAGGTCCAGGACTTGAATCATGGTTGGCCAGGTGTGAGTCTTTAACCACCATGCCACCTGCTGGCTCCCAGACTGGTTTTAATAAAGCAGCTTCTTTAACCTCAGTAGCAGAAAAGTGCCCTCTCAGCTTATGGCATTTAACAGAGACCCTTGCCGCAGTCGGCCAGCATGTGACGAACAGGCCACCCTGGTTTCCAGTAGAAAAGTGTGTGTGTGTGTGTCCCCTTTACCTAGTTCACCACATTTCCCTACCCTGTAGCCAGGGCTTCTCATCCCTTGGGAATGCTGACCTCACTGGAACAGGAAGCCGAGAGAGACTCTGGGGGGAAGTGTTGAATACCCTCCCCTCGGGGAAGCTTTGCTCAGTCGGACCCTTCCTTGGCACTGCGGTGACTTCTGGTCATCTCTCAGGCACAGCCCTGCACAGCTGAGGGCTGACCCGGAAGGCCAGCCACACGTGCACCCCTGGAAATGGGGGCTGCCTAGGTCAGCAAAAGTTCCCAAGCACCCTCTCATGATGGCCTGTGTGTGTCATCTGAGTCCATCCTACTCACGTTTTAATTTACCAATCCTGCTGCCACTAGAGCGAGGTTTGTTTAGTGACATGATGACAATAGCCACCAAAGCCAACGCGGCACCCAGGCTGGGGGGTCCACAAGGGCTCACCTCCTGGGCGACTCCGGAGAGGAGCGGGGCGATGATGCGGCCCACGGCGGTCACCGACTGCCCCAGGCCTATGAGGGCGCCACTGGCCTGGGAGCCGCCCACGGTCAGCTGGAGGTCGGTGACGCAAGTCCTGCCGAGGGCGGTGGAGAAGGCCAGCAGCGTGGAGGAGAAGACCACCAGGCCCACGGTGGGCGCCACGGAGTACAGCAGTAGCAGGGCGCAGGTGAGCGCGCTGGAGTGCAGCAGCACGGCGTGTGCGTCGTGCCGGTACAGCCGCAGGATGGGCCCCAGCGCGAAGCCCGCCAGCGCCCCCAGCGCGCTGCTGTAGCTGATGAGGTAGCCCGTGGTCTTCGGCCGCACCCCGAAGCGCTCCTCCAGGGCCAGGACGAAATTGCTGTAGTATAGCATGACCGCCACGGCCATCAGCAGGCGCACGAGGAATATGTCCCACATGTCAGAAAACACCAGGCTCTTCATGTCCCGCAAGGCAGACAGCAGCTGGGCCCAGGGTGGCCACGCAGCCTTCCCACTGGCCTTGGGCTGGTGAGTGCCATCCGCTTCCTGCCATGCACGCTGCACCCGGCGGTGCAGTGACCTGCTGGGTTTCGCTTCACTCCATGGAAACAGCCAGACGAGACCTGGGAAAAGGAACACGGGCTGTTCAGGCGGGCAGGCGCCGGTGCCTGAATGCGGACCGCGTCTCCCTCACAGGGAGCAAACCTGCGTGAGGTCACCGCCTACATTTTTGCACTTGACCTTCCTGTCTACACTTGTTTGGCTTGGGGAGAGACTTTTTGCTACAGGGCATGTACGCCTCCAGGAGAGACAGGAGGCTTAAACCACGCCAGAGGGATGGCCACACCACAATCCCTTCTCCTCTCAGAAGCTTAGGCACACACACGCCAGGAGTGGGTTTTAGGCCACCGGTCTAGGACTTGAACCATGGTCGACTACGTGGGTGTCCATCAACATAACCTTTACACTGTCTGCTGGTCCCTGCCTGCGGTTTTCAATCTAGGTTTTCACATTTCTATCAGGTCTATTATCATGCCAGGGTTCTGGCAAACAAACAAACAAAAAACAAAAACAAAACTCTTCACCGTTTAAAAAAAAAAAACACACACACACACTCAAACTATCCCTATAAAGGATTCACTGTTTTCTCCCCAGCCTATTATATAATGGTCTCCCATAAACCATTATTTCATAGCTAAATAGTTCTAAGTTCATAGGCTTCCCTTTATTAGCTAAGTCTCTGCCTATCCATCTATCTATAATTTTTTTTTAAAGCTTATTTCTTCCATGATATTTCTCTATCATGGAAGACAGAGAGGGAGAAAAGACAGAGAGGGAGAGAGAGGCACCCCAGCAGTCTTCATGCTGTGATCCACCTCCATTTCACCTGGCCCAGACCCCCTCAGGGAGGTACCAGGATGCGAACCTAGGACCTTGCCCATGTAGGTCCAGTTGCATTAGAGTTGTAACCACTGACTGCCCCTCCCCCTCCACTGCCTACAGTTTATAAAGTGCTTCCTAAAGTCCTGTGTTAAACACTAGGATTTTTCTAACCAACAAGACAAGACCTAGAAAATGCCCATTCTCGAGGGACTTAAGCGTAAACAAGTGAAGAGGTAATCAGATTGTAGCATAAGGGCCACCTGGGACAGGCCCAGGCTGCTGTGTGCAGTGACAGCCAGCCTGGGCTTTAGGGTGGGTTGGGACAACATGACAGCAATGACCATCAAGAAGCACCTGCTTGAGCCTCTGCCAGTCTGGGCTAACATTCCCTTTGCAGGTCACACCAAGAGGTGTCATTCTCATGACCCGAGACCTTATGAAGCAGCTGGACTGCCATTCAGATAACCCACCACTGCCCTCCTGTGACTGGCATGTTCCTGTCTGGGTTTACCCCACATCGTCCAAGTATGGTAACATCTTGCCAATCTGTGCCCCCAAATTTTCTCAAAACTGAATTCAAACTTGCCATTCTAGGATAGACTTCCAAACTCATCCCTATGGGCTTCTCGAGACTTCAGTTGGGACAAGTGGCTACTCAGCTGGTTCTTTTGAGCAACTTCATGTGTGGTTTCTCCATACATCATAAGTGCTTCAGCCATGGGTGGATTCATGATGGAAAACTAATGCCATGAGAAAGTGGATCTGGGCTTTCCATCTATTATACTCTTAAAAGGGTCCTTGGCTACTTCAGAATCTTCATTAAAATGTGAAAAAATGGTCACTCATGGACTAAAAAATAAAAGTACAATTTAACAAAAAGAAAAGTGATGGCAGCAACTAACATTTAGTGAGTGCTTAGCACATGCAAGGCATAGGGGTAAAACTCCTTTTTTATTTTAGGTTTCTGCCATAGGGTGCATGCACTCACTGGAGAGAGAGAGACCTAAAGAGGGAAAGTGAGAAATCAGCCCCCTCCTGGGGTCGGGGGTGGTGGTGGTGGAATGGCCACACCACAATCCCTTCTTTTCCATTCCCTTGAGATTTGGGGCATGCATGCACATGTGCTTGGCGTGATTTTCAAGCTGTTAGGTATAGGACTTGAACCGTGGTCATAGACTAGCCCTTTACCACCATACCAACTGCTGGCCCCACCTTTTTAAATTTTTTATTTATTTATTTTTTCATTTGCCAGAGGATGTGTGTACTCAGCAGAGAGAGAGAATGAGGGAGAGGGAGAGGGAGAGGGAGAAAGCACACCCCACTGAGACATGGGTCACATCACAATCTTTTCTCCTCTATTTCTCCATCCTGTTGGGATTTGGGGCGTGCTCACACACACACCTGGTGTTTTTCACAAGCCACTGGGGCTGGGATTCTACCTGTGCATTCGGCCATGTAGGATCCACCTCCTTTAACCTCAGGCCATGGTGCTGGCCCTGGGGTAAACTTACATGCAAAACCTTTCACCGTTCTCCTAACAAAGCTGCGAATTTTGATAGCCCTCTTTATAGATAAAGTGAGGCAATCTGCCCAAGGTTCACACTAAAAAGTGGCAAAGGAGGGGTGTGAACCCAGGTAATCTAGACCCCAGAGTTTCAGTTCCTACCATAACAGAAATCACGTGAGAAAAGACATGAAAAAGCTTTCTCAAAGTGGCAAAGAAAAGCAAGTATCTAAGAAGCTGACAGAGTAGGATTGAAGAAAATGGATGTCATTTGAGAAGAAAGGATGGCAAAACTGGGAGGAAAAGACAAATGTATTATGCTTACTGCACTGGTGATCAGATCCTCCTGTGTGACCCTCCGACTGTCTAGCCCTGCTCACTCACCCCCTCTTCCTCTGCTGTGCTCTGCCTCAGCCCAGGCCTGCCTGTCCCCACGTTTCTTAAGTGAGAAGAAAATATGTCTAAGCCACTTTACAGTGTATTCTGGCTAGACAATCACATTTTGTATGCTGTGGTGATGTCCAGTGAAAGTATGTAAAATAAATAAAAATAATTTTTTTTAAAAAAAGAAAAGAAATCCTTATTGTTTTAGGCCATCACAGCTTTACTATGTATTCCTAACTAAGATCCAGGCACAAACTTAAGCTGCGGCAAACTATTAACCAGTACCATCACTGGAGAATTCGAAGTCGAACTCCGTAATTATTTGCTTTGTTTAAACACTGACTTCCAGCTTTGATGCTATCATGTACCTTCCTTTATGTTTAAAGACGCTGGCCACACCGACTGGCCCTATGTCTGCATTTATTTTATCTCGGTTTACACCAACCCATTAGGCCTTCTCTCCTGACGGAGGTTATAGGTTAAGTTCCTGGCAGGAAATCATAAAGAATCCCAGTGAGGACTGAGATTAAGCACACGAACTTGGCTTCCTGAGTGGAATCCAAATCCACCATGGAATCCATCACTCAACATGGTGCCCTGAATACGAAGGCTCAAGAGGCTGCGGTAAATGTAGAATGTCATTAAGGGTAAGGAAACCCGAACGGCGTGGATCCTCTCGTGCATGAAGTTGTTTATCCATGGGCTGGCCACACGCCAGACTCTAGGCGAAGAGGATGAAAGATGCTTTAAGTAATGGCCCGGCTTCCAAGGAGGTCACAATACAGTATGGATCCTTTTACCCACTGGCTACCACTGAGCATCTGCAGGAAGTCTGGTCTGCTCCGTGCACAGGTGACAGGAATGCACAAGTCTGATAAAATCCCTGCTGTGGTGGAGTTTCCTTAGTAAGTGTGTGTGAGTGTGTGTGTGCGAGAGAGAGAGAGAGAGAGAGAGAGGGGAAACATACAGAACATGAACAAAAAGCAAGTTATTCCTAGAGTTTCAGAAGTGCTTTGAAGACAATTTAGCTAGAAGGATC